GTAGATGCTAGCATAAACATAATTACTGAAGTACCTCAGAAGGCATTGACAAGATAAAATCAGAATCAAACCCCTTCAATTTACAAATTAAACTTCAAGCTCATAACTACAGAATTACCACTAGCAACTAACTTTCCTCTTTGGCATGATTTCCAGAATCGCAAGTCTGGATCCACGTGATAGAATTAGAATGATGACTAGGTAAAAGTGAGACTAAAATGATTGGCAAGGGTGGAACAGCAAGAGAGGGCTGCTAAGCCCTTCATAAATTTTGTATTATAGATTTATAGATAATTCGGGATCCCAGTAAGGCAGTGAGGTTTGATCTAGACAAGATGCCTAGCAAAAACCTGTAGCTTTTGGTTTGGAAAATGGTTTTAGAAGAAAACATACCATGCCACCTCTTTGAATAGCCTAAAGTACACTATCGCCAGACAATGCAAAGATCGCGTTACAGTAGCTTAAAATTTAGACACAATGAGACTTATAGCATTGGTATCGAATATCCATCTAATCCTTACTCAATACAGTACATCGTAATCTCATTGTTTCCTGATAATCACTCCTATACGAAAGACAGGAGGGGTTAGCCAATGATCCTATGACAGCATATGACTATATGAGATAAGGACGCCTCAAAGAAAGATGATCATTACTCTGAACTTGATATTAGTTTTCCCATCTATAAAATATTCAATAAAGATAGCAACACTCCTTATCATTTTTGTGCTAGACAAACTACATTTCTTGCAGGAAGGCATTGCAGCAGTAAGTAAGAGCAAAAGCATGGGTTATCACATAAAGACCTTGCTTTTCTAATTGACTCGGAGTGGTTGAACTGTGTATTCGATCCCCATAAGAGGTAGACGGAATCTTAGGCAACGCCAACTTAAGCAACAATTCCAGCAATGCTGAACTAAACTGAATTTTCACAACCCACAATTCAGTTAAACACAAACATGTCAACATGTTCGTTCAACACTCAGGCCATAAAATTACACAAAAAGACTACTTTAGAATTCTATATTATCATCATCACTTTACAAAATCCGGGCCAATTACGAAAGACTAACTTCAAACTAATACTTGGATAGTTTGGGCATTCGGGGCCTCGCAAATTCTTGTATCAAGACGGTCTAACAGTCAATATCCACCCTAATAAAACTCGCAATTCTTGTATCAGACGGTCTAACAATTAAAAACCACATACCACGAACACAATCAAATAAGTAACCCAATAGTTCCAACATATAATGTCAATCATAATGTAGTGTTAACCCAATCAATCAATACAATATATCACTCAATTGACAAAAGCATACTACAAAAAATAATAAAATAAATGGAAAAAAAAAAAAAAAAAAAAACTAAAAATTGAAGAGATAAAATTAAAGGGATTAGATTATACCTCGAAAACAACTCTATCCAAGAAGAAACGAACGGAAGGGAAGAAGAGAGCAAAAAAGGGAAGAACAACGAAATCATGAGAAGTGGGGTCAGATTCTTGTTGCCAATCAATGGAAGTGAAGAATTCGATCAAACCCATGATTAGTTTTGTGAATCAGATTTAGGGGAGAATCTAATCTAGAATTTAGAGAGAGAAAGGAGAGATCTTCTTCAGAGAAGAAGAGAAGGCTGACATAAGTCTTCGTCTCCTCTGTTTCTTTCTCTCTCTTCTATACCAATTCTGCAAAATTGCCAGATTAGTGGAAGATTTGGCTAGGCTAGGCTACTAGTTCGACTGCTATCATAAAAAGTTAATCATCATTCATCCTTAAATTTACCACTTTGATTTTTTGGACAAAATAAATAAATAAATTAATAAAAGATAAAATATTGAAATTGTAACCAAACTTGGTTACTAGTATTTTTTTCACAATTTTTTGTATGTGGCTGGGTATACTGTGTGGCCGGAGTTACTCGTTTGGCAGGGGTTACTTGTAGGGGTTATTTATTTTGTGTTACTTATTCAGAGGTTACTCGTTTGGTCAGAGAAAATTATAGGGGTTACTTATTCAAGAGTTACTCGGTTGATCAGAGGTTACTCGGTCGATCAGGGATTACTCTCACACAGAAAACACGCTAACCGACTAAATAAGTAACCCCTACAAGTACCCCTGAATAAGTAATCCCTACAAGTAACCCTTGATAAAGTAACTCCTACAAGTAGGACTGACAAAAGCTGACACGACCCGAACACGGCCCAAAAATAGTGGATTTGGGTTGAGATTTTTGACTCGAAAACTTAAATGGGTCGACACGAACCCGACATGAAAATTAAATGGGTTAGGTTAGGGTTGAAAATTTTAACCGAAAATGACCCATGTAACCCAAAAATATTTTCAGGTCAAAATTAGATCGGGTCAACCTGAACCCGACCTGATAACCCGAATCCAACAATATTAAAAAAAAAAAAGGAAAAAAAAAAACTTAAACAGCTAAACAAATGAAAGGCTAAAGCTGTATCACCTAATCAAAAGTAATTCCTAGAGTCCACTAACTAATATAGATAGGGAAGCAGGGTCGAATCCACAGGGAAACATCGTTCTTCTATTCCTAATCTATTATTATAATCCGAATTATCAGGCAACAAGTAAAATTTTGGTAATTATACTATGACAATAATTAAACTAAGGGAATAATCAATAATTAAAGGCCTAGGATCACAGGTTCACCAATAATTAATATTTCGAGGTAAAACATAACAATCAACGATTAACATTGCAAACATAACATGATTAATAGGCTCTTTCAATTTATTAATCAACATAGATCTAAGTTCCTATTGAAAATATAGTCTTTAATATCAAATTAACATCTGTTCGATTCATCAATTTAATATTGCTATACTTTCACAATCAAAAATCACATGTGCTCGATTCATAATCTAATTGCAAAGAATTAAAACAATTCAATAATAAATTATTAAGCAACATTAACATCAATAATAACATATTATCCCTTCATATTAATTATGGATCCTCCAAGAACCCTAGAATTAAACTACTCACACATATTTAAATCTAAACTAATCAAAGCATATAAAGAAAACATGATTAAAATCAAAGCAATAATAATCAAAGCAATTAAAATCAAAGCAATTAAAATCAAAGCAATAATTAAAACAATAAAAGAAACGAGGAGAATACCGAATGAAGGAAATATGAAATTGCACTAAAAGGGGAAACAAGAGTTCAACAATGATCTCCAACTAAAAATCTCTCTAAGAACTTAATAATGAAATTGCAATCTAAAACGTGTCTAATAAAATCTTACAAAAGAGTTTAAATACTAAGCCCGAAAATTAACAAAAAGACGAGTCCTAAAAAACCCAAGAAAAACACGCGCCTAATCGGGCAAAGGGTCGCCCGATCGGTTCTGCCTTTTTTTTCTTTTCTCTGTCCTGCTGAGCATCCTCCCGATCGGGCAATGAGCCGCCCGATCAGGCTCGGTCTTTTCTAGGTCGATCTTCTCTTTTCCTTTTCTTTGGGCTTCAATTACTCTTGGCCCAATTTCTTTTTCTTCCTTGGTCTATTACTTGGACCAATTCCACGAACCAAGCCCTTAGTCACCGAAATCCTCGGTCTTGGGCTACGCAATACAGTCATGAATGTGATCATAAGCTTCGATATCTCGCAGTGGCAGAAAAATCATATAAATCAACAAAAACCAGGAAATTCCTAAAAAATAAATGCCAACTTTACAAAACACTCGAAACCACACATTAGTACCAAAAATAGCTCCGAAGAGCTCAAATATGCATAAAAATGACCATGGGATGAGGAATAAAATAGCATATAAAATATACACATCAACAAACCTAAAAAAAACGGATTACATTTTATATTCAGCCTAAGCCCAAACCAAAACCAAGTCACCTAATAAAAACTAGTTAAAACGACTATTTCACCAAATGCCACTGAGCAATTGCAAAATTCACAAAATGTCACCGAGTTTTTAAAAAAATTCACCGAGTGTCATTAATGACTAACGGCCGTTAGTTGACCCCACCACGCGTCACCTTATGATTGGTCTGTTTTTTATTTTAAAAAAAAGAAAATTTTAAAAAAACCAAAAAAATTTTAAAAAATTAATAATAATAATAATAAAAAAAAAAAAAAAACCCACCAAATCCCCACCCACCACCCCTTCTACCACCCTCATCGGCTAAACCCCAGCCATGCCGCTGGGACCTGCAATGGCAATCTCGTCGACGGCCGCCGGCCCCCTCCTCTTTCCCCGTCGCGACCCACCCACCCTTTAAATCCAAAACCCGAAACCCCACCCTCCTCCTTTGAGTCTCTGCCATCGCCATTCCGAACGACCTAGGGAAGGCCACCAAAGGTCGTTACCTGCGTTCCTTCAAGAGAACGAAGAAGTACGAGGTCAGGCCAGGCCTAGGGTTCTCAGGGGTCAACACCGGCACCAAGCTATACTTTGATTTCCACCGGTTTGCGACCCGTGACGGGGTGAGACCAAGTTGTGAGTTCTGAAGGAATCCCGACCCACCCACGCCGGAATCCTACAAGAACAGTGGCTGGTCGTACATCAAACAACGACCGTTGAAAAGTGGGGTTTTGGGTTTAAAGGGTAGGTGGGTCGCGACGAGGAAAGAGGAGGGAATGGGAGGGGGGTTGGCGGCCGCCGGCGCGCCTACTGGTGAGGGAGCAAATCGCCGGCGACTAGGGATCGGGGTTCTGTGGCAGGGAGGGGTGGTGGGTTGGGCTTCAGGCTGCCGGTTTTGTTTTTTTTTAAAAAAATTATTTATTTTTTAATTATTTTTGGTTTTTTTTAATTTTTTATTATTTTTTAAAAAACAGACCAATCAGAAGGTGACACGTGGCAAGCGGTGGGGTCAACTAACGGCCGTCAGTCATTAATGGCACTCAGTAAATTTTTTTTAAACTCGGTAGCATTTGGTGAATTTTGAAAACCTTCATGGCATTAGGTGAATTTTGTAATTGCTCAGTGCCATTTAGTGAAATAGTCGTATTTAAAACCTTAAATTCCTCATTTCCTCACATTCTTTAAGAGCCGTTTCTCACTTTCTCTGTTCTTCTCTCTCATATTTCTTATTTTCTCATCTTTCTTTCTCAATCCTTCTGAAGAATTCAAAGTTCAAAGTATCAACAATTCAACACTCCTTCAATCCTTCACACCTACTACGCATTCCTCTCCTTCATCAGTCAAGGTATTTTGCTTCTCCATTTTTTTTTGCATGTTTTCATTTTTTTTTAATACGGTTTAAATTTAATGATCCATCAATATTATTATACAATTTGTGATGTGCTGAGTTCCATGAATTATTTTTAAAATAACATTATTTTCTTATGATACATCAATCTGTTCAATTGTATAATTTTTTCATATGTTTATGCTAATTTTCGTATGTTCATGCTGATTTCTGTTGTTAAATGTTGTTGTATGTTTATGTTACTATACGGTTGTTTTTGGGATTCTCCTCTGCAACTGCAAGGCAATAGACTTTGGACCGCCGGCGCGAACACAGCGGTCTTTGACCAGGATAATTTTTATTGTTTATGTTTGTTTTTCGTGTTTATTATACGGTTAATTGCTTTATTCTTGCTGATTTTTTGTTGTTGATGTTGTTGGTATAATAATCAGCTCTTGTTGTTTTATAAACTGTTCTGGTTGTTTTATAATATGTTCTTGTTGTTTTATAAACTGATTTTTTATAGAGAGTTTTTTTATAATCTGTTTTGCTGTTTTATAATTTTTTGGCGGAAAGTAATGGATGTTCAACAACTTTCTTCGGGAGAGGAGGAAGAGATCGATTCTACAACTTTATAATCTGTTTTGTTGTTTCTAATGTGTTAAGAAGACTTTTGATTTGTAATAGTAATTTAGGTACTTAGACTTGTGGTTTACTTTGGATTATTGAAGCTTATTGGGTTACTTGAAAAAATCAGGTTTTTTAGGTCCATTTCAGATCCTTTACATTTAGACCCAAAACAAAAGTCAGGTCACATCAGGTCAAATTCGGGTTGACCCGAACTCGAAAATATCAGGTCTAGGTCAGGAGTTTCAACCCGAAAAACTTAAATGGATCAGGTCGGGTTGTGGGTTTGCTGACTCAAAATTAGGTGACCTAAACACGAACCCGACCCGATCTGTTTGCCAGCTCTACTTACAAGTAAATTTTGAATAAGTAATCTCTACAAGTAACCCCTACCACACAGAAATTTTATTTTATTTTATTTATTATTATTATTATTTTTTACAATAACTTGGTTACTATTAAAATCTAGTGAATAACATTAAAGATCAAATATTTTGTTTTTACAAAAGGTAAAATATAATTTGAGATACAAAATATTGTTTACAGAGAACTAACCACTACTTTCTCTATTTTTTATTAACTTTCAACGTAATACTTTGTCACGCACTTTAATGAAGTCATGAAGATATTAGACTAGCTAAACAAATGAATTAATAAGTGACAAAATTAAATTGCCAATAAGAAGAAAGTAATAGTATATGTTTGATTTATATGGTGATAGTATATGTTTGATTTATATGGTCATTCAATGCATTTTGATCTATTGTTTGCAAAACAAAATAGTACTTCTTCCTTAGTATTTTTTTTTAATGCATCACTTAAAAAATCATGGACTCCTAAGTAATTTTTTGAGATGAAATGGATAGAAAAAAAAAGGGATGCATCTAAATTAAAACTTTCTTATACAAAAAGTGATGCATTTACAAAAATAAAGTGATAAAATAATATGACATTGTTTAGTTGGCATCGTGTGTAGAAAGTTGAAATTGTTGCATGTTCAAATGGTGTATAGTCCAATTACATACCTAAATAAGTAAGTAAGTAGAGTATTCATGTTCATTATAGTCACTAGGATGAGGTAATTTTGAAATTAAAGTGGTAATAACCAATGGTACATCTATTCCTTTCTCCCATATATTTTCTTTCTTTTTTTTTCAAATATGTCTCTATGGATGTCTTTGTATAGCTCTCACATAATCATGAATATTTTAAAAAAATTGTAATTATTAATTTTCATAAAATGACTTTTAAAAGTAAAACGCAATAGTAATTTTGAATGGATTGAGGAATGGTACACCATGTCACGATGAAGTGGCATATACCTTGATGTGGTATAAAATTATACCATTGATAGGAGTTCAACGGTATACATTTTTCCACTAGTAGAAAAAACTAAATGGAAAGCGGTTCAACCCCCCCCCCCAATTGGAAGCGGTTTTGAGCCGCTTCGGTTTGGGGGGCTTGCCATTGTCAACTTAAATTGGAAGCGGTTCAAATCGCTTCCAATTTGTGGAGAATTGGAAGCGGTTTTGGCGCCAAACCGCTTTCAATTCCCATTTCCCCCTATGAAATGTATAATGTAATTGGAAGTGGTTTTGGCGCCAAACCGCTTCCAATTTAGCCTGTTTTTTTAAAAATTATTATTTTTAATAATATAAACATAATAATATTATTAGTGACCTTTCACAATAATTTTAGTATTATTAATTAATAATAAAATATTATTATTAATCGATATAAAATTATTATTAATTAATAATAAAATTAATATTACAAACAATAATACAATGATATATATAACACGAAATAATTATATATATAAAAAGAAACATCATTAATATAATTGTTAACTACGTACTTAAAATAATGTTGATAATAACTAATTAATAAAGTCAAGCTTACAAACTAATATAACCACTACGACAATTCTAGATGTAATCAAATGTCACGAAAAAAGCCCACATGTCGCGAACTTCATTGATTTCCTTGCTTGTTAACGGGTCTTCCCTTTGAACCTTGCAAAACTTTAGAGAAAAAAAAAAAACCAAACATTGTCATGAGTATCACAACAAAAGTATGTCAAATATTTCAAAATTAATCACCTAAATACGCAAGCACTTAGGCATCAAAATTCCCAAACAATTAGGCACGAAATTCAACACATTGACCGAAAATCACCAAAATCACTGAAATGCACCAAAATCACCGAAAATCACCAAAATGCACCAAAATCACGTGCATGTAGAGGCTGCTCAGCAGCTGCCTGCCTAACATGGGCAACCTGCCTTGACTGCTGTAGTGGTGCCTGGGCAGCCTACCTTGGCAACTGCAGCTGCCTGGCCTGCCTGCCTGGGCTGCTGCAGTGGCTTGGCCTGGCTTGCCTGCTGCAACTGCCTGGGCAGCGTGCCTTGGCTGCTGCAGTGGCCTGGCAGCCTGCATTGATTTCCATATAAACTAATATCTAGTCATTTTAAAAACTCATATTTAGTATATCTAACATGTGTATTGGTTGAAATTGCTTGAAAGTATTCCTTTTCATGCAAATACAAGGTTATAGGGGCATAAGTAGGTGAAAATGGCTCAAATGAGCTTCTAACTTACCCAAATTCTTTGTTTTCTATATAAACTAACGTGTACTCATTCTAAAAACTCATATTTAGGATATTTAACTGGTTTAAAGGTTGAAACAGTTTGAAAGTATTTATTTTCATGCAAATACTAGGTTATAAGAGCATAAGTAGGAGAAAATGGCTCAAATGAGCTTTTAACTTTATCAAATTCTTTGTTTTCTTTATCAATTGAAATCTAGTCATCCTAACAAATAATATTTAGTATATTTAACATTTTTATAGGTTGAAATAGCTTAAAATTAATCATTTTCATGAAAATACAAGGTTATAGAAGCATAAGTAGGAGAAAATGGCATTAGTGAGCTTCTAACTTACCCAAATTCTTTGTTTTTTTTTTATAAACTAATATCTAGTCATTCTAAAAACTCATATTTAGTATATTTAACATTTTTATAGGTCAAAATTGCTTAAAAGTATTCATTCCCATGCAAATACAAGGTTATAGGAGCATAAGCAGGTGAAAAATGGCTCAAATGAGCTTCTAACTTACCCAAATTCTTTATATTCTTTGTAAACTAACATCTACTTATTCTAAGACCTCATATTTATTATATTTAATATGGTTTTAGGTTGAAATTACATAAACCATTTTCATGCAAATACATGGTTATAGGAGCATAAGTAGGAGAAAATGTCATAAGTGCGCTACTAACATACCCAAATTCTTTGTTTTCTTTATAAACTGACATCTACTAATTCTAACAAATCATATTTAGTGTAATTAACATGTTTATAGGTTGAAATAGCTTAAAAGTATTCATTTTCATGCAAATACAACATACCCAAAAAACATGCCCGGTACCTGCACAGCAGCCCAAGCAGCTGAACAGCCAGGCCAGGCAGCTGCACAGCCAGGCCAGCCACCTACACAGCCAGGCCAGGTAGCTGTACAGGCAGCCTAGGCAGGCTGCACAGCAAGCCCAGGCAGCCTGCACAGCAAGCCCAGGCAGCCTGCACAACTAGCCCAGGCAGTTGCACAACAGCCCAGGCAGGCTGCACAGCAAGCCCAGGCAGCTGCACAAGCAGCCCAAGCAGGCTGCACAGCCAGGCCAGCCACCTGCACAGGCAGACCAAGAAGCCTGCACAGCAAGCCCAGGCAGCCTAGGCAGCTGCACAGGCAGACCAGGCAGCCTGCACAGCCAGCCTTTGGTGAATTTTGCTGACTTTAGTGACTTTAGTGAATTTCGGTGAATGCGCATTGATATTTGGTACAAATATTTTGGACTTAAACTCAAATAAAAAACACTTACCATCGTATCATCCCAAAACATTTGAAGCAACTCTTTAAGTATCTCGGGCCAGTCAAGTGTAATAGGTATTTTACGACTCAGTATGCCAATGTGAGTGGAATATTTGCTGCGCCATTTCCCAGTAGGTTGACCCAACTCGTCAAACTCAAGAACCATGGCTTCCCCGGGTTTCTTAAAAGCTTTTGTTGCACCCCTAACCTTTCTCTTCACTGGTGCCTTTAACCCTTCTCCACCACCGGTGGTTTTCACTTGACGTTGCGTGTGCATTTGCCCTTGTGAATCTCGTACAAACTCGGAAACAACATTATCAGTAATAGGGGGGCACATTCAGCTGCTATCTCATAATCGTCAAGCCTACGCTGCAACTCATCATGAGCTTGGTCTTCTGGTTCAACCAAATCTGGCTCCTTATTGATATCATACAACTCGTCATCAGATTGAGAACTACTACGGTCTTCATCATCCATATCCTCTTCGTGGTGAAGGTACTCATCACCACCCATTTTATGTACACACCTACCACCACAAGCAATGCAAATAATTAGTCATCAGTAAATACAAGAATACGCTTAAAAGTCATTGATTTCATGCTAATACAAGGTTATAGGAGTGAAAGAAGTTCAAAATGGCATAAATGAGGTCCTAACTTTCTCAACTTCTGTATTTTCATTACTAGTTCACATCTAATCCTTCTAACAGCTGATATTTGGTATACAAAACATGTTTACAAGTTGAAAATGCTTAAAAGTCATTGATTTCATGCTAATACAAGGTTATAGGAGTGAACGAAGTTCAAAATGGCGTAAATGAGGATTGTTATTACGATGCATAAAAAAAAGTACCTCATTCAAGTATTCCCTCATTGTGGTCTGATCGAACATAATTTATATCGTTCATACATATAGTGTAAAAATGAATGCTCCCAAAAGGTCCTTATCACTCCAACCTAACCCATCCTTGAACGTCTAATCTCACTAGTGAATGTATGTCAACTTTCCAATTTTAAGGAAAATCCGGCAGCATTTCCCCCCAATTCTCCAAGTACACAACGTAGGTAATTACTTACCTACATATGCACCAAGAGAACATGGTGACAAAATACTAAGCCGAGATATTCCTTAAAATCGAAAAAGAGACATACATTTACTACCTAAGTGAGATTAAACGTCCAAGAACAGTCCCAACCGGGGATTATTCAAGACTTCCTCCTAATGAGATAGACTCGATCGGGTATCTAGGCAAATGACGATGCAAGCATTCAATAATTTGCATTTGTTTGACATTTAACAAAACACAAGTTCATTCATTCATATAATGCTAATTGGACTACCTACAAGCAAACTAAGCTTACTTACAATCCATTCATTAATTCATCTCTTTTTAGCTACTCAAATTCAAACAACATATAACATTATACAATTAAGGTAACAATTAACATTATGTATACAAATATTTAATAAAATAATTAACATATAATATGATTAACTAAAATTGAAACCCTAAAATTTGGTAAATTGTTGAGAAAAAATAGATAAGCTAATAAGAATAAGCATGAATTCACCCTAATTTGAGAGGGACAAAGAGAAGGAATGCGGGGTTGTGAGAGGGAGAGATGTGGTGGTGGTGCCGTGTGAAGGTGAGAGGGGCAGCAGGAGCAATGTCGCAGCAATGGAGTGAGTGAGTGCAAGGTGAGAGGGGTCCACAAGCAGCGTCGCAGCAGCAATGCCTGTGGTGAGGCCGAGTGTGCTGGATGCGGCGAGCAGCGTCAATAAGCAACATCAGCAACAATACGTCCACAAGTAGCGTCAGAGCAGCAGCAGCAGTAGCAACAATAGTGGTCGCGGCGGGTCTATGACTTGGTGGTGGTGGGGATTAAGTTAAGCAGCAGCAACATTAGCAATGGTGGTGGTGGTGGAGTGCCGGTGTGTGAGAGTGAAAGGGGAAATGAAGGAGGAGTGCGCGAAATGGAGTACTGGGCGAAATAAAGGGGAAATGAAGGAGGTTAGATCCCACCTTTTTTTTTAAAGAAAAGGAAGCGGTTTGAACCGCTTCTAATTACTTTTTGGGAGCGGTTCAACCAAAACCGTTTCCATTTCTATCCCTTGTTTTTTTTTTTTTTTTAATATATTTTATTTTGGGCGGGTTTTTGTAAGGAATAGGAAGCGGATTTCAAGAACCGCTTCCAATTTGGGGCTTCGCATTACCTTTTTTCTTCTAGTGTTCCCACTTCTCCTTGCCTTGGCATAATTTTGTACAATTGGTATGGATGCTCTTAGAGGTATGTTAAACATGACTCAATGTACCATTGGTGTGGATACATTTATTTTTTGACCAATGGTTATTACACAAGTCAAAGCAACAATATGTATTGGAGATGCTCAAATAAGGATGACACATCATATCATGTCTTCCAGGTTCATGTAGGCGTATTAACAGGTGAGCATAATGAAAGCCACATGTTTTATCCTAAGTTGTACCGAAGTGCCACACAATTTGGCACGTTCGTACAAGGTTGACGTTCCCATGCCAATGCAACCTATGTTTCTTGACTTCAAGAATCTAGCTACTTAGAGTTTTGTGACATGGCATGCCCTTACCACATGGAAAATCGTCGATACATTTATGTCAAAAATGTTCTGGCTCATTAATATTTTATGAGACATAATATAAGTGTCGATTGTAGCTGATTTTGTTAAACACAAAAAAAGTAGAGTTTGAGAAAAAGTTCTTTTGGGTCGACCTTTGTGCTTTGTGAGAGAAAGAATAAATGAGAGGAAAATAATTTTACTAACATCAATTATTCATCATAAATACGAATATAATTAGTCTACTTGTTAAGGTGGGTTTTTAGTCTTCAAGCTAATTGCTTGAAGAATTTTTTTCCCCTCCCAACTCTTGTCTCATCTCCTTTACTTTTAAATTTCTTAATTGTTAAATATTTATACTTCCTAATCAATCACTATAATTATCACCATTAATATTTTAACATGGTAATACGAGTATATATTAAACTAGGATAGTCCCGAGTAATGCACGGTTTCACTTAACCTGCATTACTATGTTAATTTAACGATAATTTTCAAAAAAAAAATCTATGTTTTTAATTAAAACAAATACTAAAATTTCTTTTCAATAAAAAAAATTAACTCGAATTTAATATATATATATATATATATATATATATATATATATATATATATTAATGTCAAAAGTTATTGATCATTAAACATTTAGACAAATATAAAAGAAATTTAATAAATATGGGTTTTAATTTAAGAATGAAAATTTATGTTAATTTCTTCCCGTGTAATGTACTTATATACCTCATCCGTCCTTATTTTATTGGCATACTTTGACCAGTACAATGTTTTAAACAAATTTAATTGACTTACTTTTTTGTGATAGTTAATAATCAATATATATATATATATATATATATATATATATATAAATTAACGCGTCAGATTTCCTCTCCTTCTCCTTCTCCATATTCTAGCATCCTCACTGTGTAATTTGCAAACAAGTGATTTTGCCATCAAAAATCTTTGAATTGCTCATCAAATTGTCTTCTCTATCCTTTTTCGTGCTTCTATCCTTGAATTCTCGATCTGTTCATTGTTCACTTTTTCAGCTCATAATTTGGCAAGTGATTTTTTCTTCAATTATGTAATTTAGGGTTATGATTTTGAGTTTTGTTGTCGTCTTTGTTGCAATTATTGTTTAAATTTGCCAATCTACAAGTTAATTATGTTATACTTTGATTTTCTAATCAATTTATAATTGATCATTACGGTGTTTACGTTTGTTTTTTTTTTTTTTTTTTTTTTTTTTTTTTTTTATTTTTTATAATGATTTGTTTAAATTTCTCATATTGTTTCTAACTAGCTATAAATTTTAACCTTAACATATCAAAATTATTAGTTCCGTGATTATTTTTTGACTGACCATATTTTTGATGAAAATTTAGGTTAAATAATTGAAATAAGCTTTGATCTTTGTCTCTGTCTCTGTCATTTACAATTTCCTCTAGTACTTGACTTGTTTTTAGCTTCTTAAAGAAGATCTACTTTCCTAAATACCTGAACTGAGTGTATTAGTGATTAATTATGAGCTCGGATGAAATTAAATAGGTTAGATTTATATTTTAGCTTAGCATTACCTTTGTTTAATTTGCTATTGATCTAATGATTAAAAGAAGTGGCATCTTATTAATTGGGGTACTGTACTCGGGGAGGGTGTTGTTAACCTGCTTGTTATAGCAGGTTCAATTCAAATTATTGAGATTGATTAGCAGGTGTATCATTCTTCTTATAGTAGTGTAAATAATTGCTATGTTCATTTTGGGTACATTGGTCAGTGGATGTAATATGCAAGATGTACAATGAAATATTCTAATTGAAGTTATGGTATAGAAATCTGCTTTCATGACATGGGGTAATGTATTTAAGCATTGATGATTTGTATACTTGCATAATTCCACAAATTTTGTGTCTCTCCTTGCTTCTTTTTGGTTTTTTCAGGTATTATATTTCGGTGTTGCAAATCCTTCAAAATCACCATGGATGATGATAGTTACGACGAAGATAATAATGAACTTGAAAATGATGAGAGTGATGATGACACACTGAATGCTACTAACACTAAGAAAAAGAGGAAGCTAGCAAGTAAAATGGATAATGATGCAAATGTCTTGCCTAGTAAAATGTCACTAAGAATTTTTTACAAAATGTTGCTGAAGTTGAGCATGGAACAAAAAAATGCATTGAAAAATATTGGGTTTGGAAGTATTCTAGATTTGGAGGTTATGGATCTCCCTAGAAGATTAGGGAGGTTTCTTGTGGAAAAATTTAATTATTGTAATTCATTAGTTTTGGAAAAAGGGAATTTGACAATATCTAAAGATGATGTCCACAGTACCTTAGGCTTTCATTTTGGAGGGACACGTGTAGAAGAAGCTTCTCCATCAAAGAAAAATGATTCTTATTTAGAATTTGTAAAATCATTCAAACTCCGATGGTTTAACATTGCTGTCTTTGAGAAGAAAACCACAAAGGAGGGGAAGGAGGGGAAAAAAAAGAGAACTAAAAAGGAGAAAAAGGAAGATGACTAGCCTGAAACCAGTTTTATGTGTGCAGATGGAACGAGATGATCATGGTGATGAGTTCGTTCTTGATTTTATGGTATGTTTAACCTCCAGTATTGTTAAAGGTCAGCAAAATTATTTTTGCAACTCAAAAATATTGTACTCCCTAATGGATGTTAGAGAAATAAAGAATTTAGATTGGTGTGAGTACACATTTTGTAGCCTCGTGTCTTCTGTGGAGAATTGGAAGAAGAATGATGGTAATTAAATAAGACTTTTATGGTATATTTGGTCTTTTTAATTTTGAAGTTATTCATTTTTATAAGCAACTAAGATTCAAAATTATACATTCTAGCTGCACTGCTAATTGAGTTTGTAACTATTTTTTGTTAAATAGTTATGTTACGTGGATAGAGTTAGAGTTTAAGGCAGGGCAAGTAGAGAGGAAATTTCCTACTCTATGTGGGTGGACAAGTAAGATTTTGAAGAAGAGAGCAACTGAAGAGGAGATAGAAGGTCATATTATTGGTCGTTTAGGTCCTGTCGAGGATCTCAAAAAGGTATCTTACTTGTCTCACATGCTAATTATGTATATATGTTTATTATCGATTATTTAGGTTATTGAGTTCAGCCGTGTGATGACTGTGATCCCTCTAACTCCCATCTCCTTTTTATCTCTCTTCCTCAATAACAGAAGCAATAACTACATATGTGTTTTGATTTCTTTCTGTTAGCTTCAAACTTAAACTGATGCACAACTAGATATGCCCCTCTTGCATGGGTTTGAACATTTCTTTTATTTATGAAGGAAAAAATGTCGGATATATTATGCTCCTCTCTCAAGACAATGTCAGAAGTTGGACCGAATGCTTTCCAAAATGAAAAGCCCGAAAAGGCAGCTGAAGCATTTAAGTGCGTTTCTGATTTATTCAATAAATGCTCAAGTTGTTGCAAATTTTCTATGAATGCAGCTAGATCTGATCCTTATTTTAGTCAAGATGATGAATTTTGGCAACAACCTAGAGTCATGGATGTTGTGGACGAGGTATTAGCGTGTGCTACAATTGCTGGTGATCTGTTATTAATGGATGAATTCTTATTAGAAAAAGAAAGCTCTCCTCCCCTTGATAATAAGAGACGTCTTTCCACTGTCGCTACTCCTACTTTTTCCTTGGGATTGAATCAAACTCCTACTCCTCCTACACCTCTCTGTGGAGATATAGATGAAATGTATTAATATGGTACTTATTTTCATTATCCTATGTTTATCATTTGTTTTACGGATAAATTACTTAAATAAGGTTATTGGGAAATCACTTATATGTTTGTTTTATTTTATTTTTATTAGTATCTTTGGAGATATTTTGGATCGAGTTGATGATTATGGATTAATCATTGGAGAGAGAAAAGATCAGTAAAAAATCTTTCAAAGTATCTTCGCTCTCCATATTGGACACGTTATGGGGATTTGTTAGGTGATGTAAGAGAAAAAGAAAGGATTTTGTCATATTATTGTTTTTTTGAGAAAGAGCCAAGAGGGTATGTAGTTCCTTCTTATCGAAATATATTTCAATATTTTTTCTTCGTCTTACATTTGATTTATACTAAGCTTACTTTTTTTTTTTAGTGAAAAGTTGTTTATGTATAAAGACATGTTTGCAACACGGGAAGATATGTATTCACTTTCTACTGATGAAGACGTTTCATCATCAGTCGTTGATATTTGGAGTTTGATCTTAAATATCCAAAATTTGCATCGTGGAGAAAACAAACCTCATAGAGTGTTCTTTTCTACAAATTTAGCCGTAAGGTTTTCTTTTTTCCATTTGTAGTTGTGTTTTAATCTTAAACTTTTTGTATGAAGTGCAGTTTAAAAAAATTTATTTCTTTTTGCAGTATTTTCTGACACTTCATGATTTTACTGGTCAAGTAACGGATGCTAATAGAATCGCCAACTTTCACAATAGGCTATTCACACTAGGCTACAAAATGAGTTGTATACATATAAAAGTTCTTCTTTGGAAAAAGCTGATTTAGAAAGTTAGAAGTCTAGTAGTTTATTTCTGTTTTGCACAATAGTTTTGTTTCCTTTATATGGATTTATATATGCTCTCCTTGATTATTAGTTGTTTAATACTTCGTATCATTTTATTCAGGTTTTCTTTCCTATATGCGTCGATAAACAATTCTTCCTTGTGTGCTTCAACTTCGTGAAAGATCGAGTATACTACATTGATAACAGATCTTTACCTGCAAATTCTTCTTTTCAGAAAAAATATGGAGTTATTTATGAGCTTTTGGTAATCTCTAATCTCCCTGCTCCCTATTCATTATCCATAGTGCAACATGCAATAATATTTTGAAGGAGGTGTAACATGTAACTTTAGTAATTTGCTAAATATATATATATGCATATTTTTTTAAGCATAATGTGCATTTTTTTTAACTTAATGTGCATATTTTTATTGAATAAAAAACAGATTGAGTGGATGTGTCATTTTAGTTCATTGCATTTTGTGAATATGTTATTATTTTTGTAGCTGAGCCCACCCATTACCAAGAACACTTGTGGCTGACTGTCCACGCCACCATACTAAAATTATGCATTTCAAAATGAATATGCAATTTTTTTTATAAAGTAAATGTGCGTATGTATTAAACTAAATGTGCAGTTATATTAATCTAAATGTATTGAACTAAATGTATTGAGCCTACCCATTACTAGACTATCCAGGCCACTGAAATCATGAATTTCAAAATGAATATGCATCTTTTATAAAGTAAATGTGCATATGTATTGAACTAAATGTGCATTTATATTAATCTAAATGTAAGAGGCTATATATCAAATGTGAGTTTGTAATCTATATTGTTTGCACATTTTCATAGTAATAAGTTAATTTTTATCCTATCTAGTTATTGTTTCTCTATAATGCTCACTTTCATTTATTTTCCTTAAAGGACACTGCTTTTCAAGGTTTTCTGTTAACCATCAAACATCTAAAGGCTGGAAAATTGTCTGAAAAAATAAAAATGTAAAACTTCCATGGAAATCCAGATCAAATTTAAAGGATTGTGGGGGGTTTTCTTATGAGGTATATGGAAACATACTTGGGCAGGATGGCAATTGGGAGTATAGCTTCCAAAAAAAAGCTAAAGAAAATGTAAGAAAACTTTTTATTTTGTATGTTACATGTTCAATTCTTTTTAGTTTATGTCATTTTTTTATAACAAAATAAACATCTTCCAGGTTCAAGCATTACAGTCTCTAAGAGCCAAATATTGCAGCACAATTCTTCTTAGTCAGCTGAATGCAAGGAGAACATATGTGATAAAAAAAGGTAGGGAACACTTGACGAAGAACTAGCTAGCAAGATTGACTTGGAGAAGGAATCAGAGAATTGTCATTGTTTAAACCAGTTGCTTTATTTCTCTACTCAGACTGTCATAGGATCTCCATAATTTTGTTTGTTCATATCTGGTAGCTGCATATTAGAATTAAATCTTAGATTAGGAAGCACTAGGTGAACCTATCACACTCTTCCCATCTTTAGAACATTAAATTCAGCCAGTTAGGCCAAAAAAATGCTTGTTCTTAGTGATGCTCTTATTTTTGTTGTTGATAGATCTGGGAATATGATGTGTAGTAAAGTGACAATATTGACATGAATATATGATTCATGATCTTTTGCCTTGGTAGATAATGAGATGTCATAATGAATCTTATATCTCTGAAGATGTAAATAATGCAAATATTGTTATGTTGTAAGAAAGGAGTTCCTTGATTTACAAGAGTTCTTTGTTTTGTATGAGCATGAAATGAGTACTTTTGTTTTGATGTTTTCTCTTATCAACTTTCTTACTATGAAACTTTGGTTGCAATATATCAGATTAAAAGACGGGCTTGACTTCGGACAGCGTTAAACTTATATTTTACGGATTTAATTTACATTGGATTTGCGTTCTGACTCAGTATCACATTTTTTTTTTCTACTTATATATTAGTTGATAGTCATACAATATTATATCCAAAAAGTAAAAATAAAAGGCAAGGGAATTGAAAGATATCAATTTAATTAGGTTTATATTCACTGAACCTTTAAATCATACTCTACAAGAAAATTCTTTATGCTCACTTTTCACCTCTTATTAAATATATAGTTGATCTTTAAAAAAAAAATAAAAAAAATAAAATCAAATAAATAAATAAAAATCAAATCTTCCTCTTCATCCACCAATTTTTTCCTCACAATAATCACACTTAAAATCATGCAACTAAAAATCCCACCATTTCTACTCACCCAAATCAAAAAGTTCCACTCTTCTCCTCAACTCAATCACTCTCTCCGTGAATGTAAGTTAAAGACAAACCAATAACCTGAATGTTTTACCTAATACATCAAGAAACTTTATTTGTACTAAACATGCATTACTTTTATACCAAATGTGTGTATTTTTTAAATAAAATGTGCATTCTACTCTTCTATTTATAAAAAACACTCTTGTTCAAAGATTCAATAAGTCAAGAATTAAATATAAATAAATAGTTAATAAGTCACATAAGGATTTTTTTTTTTTTTAAGAAAGCGGTTAATGCATTAATTCATAGAAAGAGAATCCAACAAGACATACGAGGAAATTTCAGCCGGAACGGAATTTTCCCACAACTGTTCATGACCAAATGACACTAACCTCGCTAAGTGGTGGCCACAAAATTCCCATCACGTTTTACATGAGACCAAATAATAGAAGAAAGACCCGAGCTAACAAAAGTGATATCCTCTAAAACATTGTCAACAGCCGCTAAAGAAAAGGATTTCTTCTTGAGCTCGGTAACCATCACCAGGGAGTCAGCCTCAAGGATAATGTCTCTCAAGCCTTGCTCTAATGCCTTCTTTATCCCCAAACCAAGCCGCTTTGCTTTCGGCAATCAAAGGATCCCATCTAGCTCTATGTCTGCGAATTGCCGAGAACAGAACACTACCCGTACAGTCACGGGCAACAACACCCAGCCCTACCCAGCCATCATCAGAGATCACCGCGTCTACATTGACCTTCACCAGGCCAACTAAGGGAGGCTCCCATATCGGATTGCCAGCTGAAACAGTGGGAAGAGAAGTTCCCCCATAAACCCTTTCAGTATACTTGCCAAAATCGACAACTAGTCTACTGTGTCTGAGGAGGAGAGCCTCATCCGGATCCCACACATTATCAAAAACCCATCTATTGCGACGAAACCATATAAACCAAGTAAGGAACAAGCTCCTTTGATACACCTCAGCTGAGAGGTTCTTTTCCCAATTAAGAATTACATCTCCAAATGAGTTCGATGAGACAAGGGAGAGAGCATCGTGACAGCCACTTCTCAACCACAATTGATGCGAGCTAGAGCATAGAATTGTAGCGTGAATGGCCGTCTCATTGATTGAGCTGCAGCAAGGGCATCGAGGGTCATCAGCAATGTGTCTATATTGCAGAAGACTTCGGGAGGGTAAGGTGTTTGAGCAGCACCTCCAAAGGAAGTGTCTGACCTTTGGTGTGATTTTCGCCTTCCATATTTCAACCCAATAATGTTCACTTATTGGGATCGCTAAAATAGCCTACTTATCTCGATCGTTGAACATGCTCTCAATTTTCTGCAAGTCCCAGCTACGGTTCTCCTTATCAACGAGCTCTTCCACATATTGACAAAGCTCAACATTCTCATATGTGGTAACAAAACGACTTTCATCATCAATGAGCCAAGGATCCGACCAAATTTTGATATTCCGGCCATTACCCACCCTCCACAGCATACCCTCCTTCACAAGCGCTTTTGAGCTCCACAAGCTTTGCCATGAGTAGCTTGCTGCTGGACCTAATGTTGCCTCTAAGATAGACGTTTGGGGGTAGTATTTTTCCTTGAAAACTCGGCTTACCAGGGAATGCTCATGAGTTGCAAGGCGCCACAATTGTTTCCCAAGGAGAGCTATGTTGAAAACCCCCAAATCTCTAAAGCCCATACCTCCTAGGCATTTAGGTTGGCATAAAGAAGCCCAGCTCTTCCAATGGATCTTTCTACCCCTCTCATTTGAACCCCACCAAAACCGAGCCATTATAGCATGAATCTATTAGATAAGGGCACTTGGGAATCTATACACACCCATCAATTATGTCAGAATAGCTTGGACTACGGACTTGAGAAGGACCTCTTTACCGGTTCTAGACAAAAGTTTCTCCTTCCAACCTTGGACCTTCTTCCAGATTCGATCCTTCACAAAAGCAAAAACCACTTTCTTCAATTGTCCCACCTCAGTCGGCATACCAAGATATTTGGTATGATTATCCACCATTTCCATACCAAGAATCGAGCTAAGAGTGACCCGAGATGATAAATGGACCCCTTTGCTAAAGGGCACCTCCGACTTTTTTAAATTGATTTTTTGCCCGGAAGTTGCTTCGTATTTGTTGAGAATGTCAACAATGACTGAACATTCCTGCTAGGTGGCTCTAGCAAATAAAAGACTATCATCTGCAAAAAACAGGTGAGTAATCTCCGGGCCATTTCTACTAGCCCGGGCTCCATGAATTAGATTTTTCTCTGCAGCCGCCTGTAAAATTCTAGACAAGACATTAGCAATCAGAATGAACAGGTAAGGGGAGATAGGATCACCTTGGCGGAGACCTCTAGATGGAGTCAGGAGATCCGAAGGGACTCCGTTGATAATAAATGAGTATCGCACCGTGGAAACAAAAGACATAATAGTATCAACCCAGGCTCTAGCAAACCCCAACTTGGTCAAAAGTCTTCTAAAAAATTCCCACTCCATCCTGTCATACGCCTTGCTCATATCCAGCTTCATAGCAGTCAACCCACGACGGCTCTTAGATCTCTTCTTCATAGTATGGAATAGTTCAAGAGCAATCAAGGCATTATCTGTAATCAAACGTTTAGGGACAAAGGCGCTCTGATTTTCTGTAACCATAGCATGGAGGAGAGATTTTAATCTGTTAGCCACAAATTTTGAGGCTAATTTGTAGAGCACGTTGCAAAGGGAAATAGGCCGGAATTGAGAGATACAAGTAGGACTCTGAATTTTCGGGATTAGGGCAACATTTGTGATATTTATATTATCCAAAGGGACTCTTCCCGAGATTATGTTATTAACAAACTTAGTAACATCATCCCCTACAATGTGCCAGGATTCTGTTAGAAATAGCATGGAGCCCGTCTGGCCCAGGGGCCTTACAAGGACCCATCTGTGAGAGAGCAATATGTATTTCCTCTTTAAGAAAGGGGCGACATAGGGAAGAATTCATACCATCCGTAATCATGATTGGGACGCTGGCCAAGACCTCCTCCATCAACGACTCGTTCAGCTCGCCTCTAGCAAATAGAGCACTATAGAAATCAAGAACAATTCTCTCAACATTAGCCGCCTTCCCTGAACACCACTCACCATCACCGTTATTAAGGCCTTTGATATAATTTTTTCTTCTCCTTTGAGCTGCCTTATGATGAAAGAATTTGGAATTACGATCGCCATCCTTGATTTCGGACACCCTTGAACAAAGGAACCAATAAGCTTCATTTTTTTCGTGGAGATCATCCAAAATACCCTTCTAAAACATAAGGAGTTAATTCATCCTAAAACATGAACATGAACATCGTATTGTTTTTATTCTTCATATCTTATGCTAGCTTGAAGTCACTCTTGTCTCCATAAAAATGATTATAAGCCGGTAATCATCAAACCTGCATACTTTTTTTTTAAATAAAAAAAAAGAGTATATTTTGAGAATTTATATTAATATTTAAACAAAAAACCCTAAAAATAACATGTTTATAGATATGAGAATTGAGAGTAAAAAACGTTTACCATGTTTAAGATACTTTTTTGTTTGGACAGTTATGACTATCATGTTACAAAAAGCCCTAAAAACAAAATGTTGCAAATCTTCCTCATTTCTCTCTGCAAGGCCTACACTATTAAAAATTTCTGACCAAGCTCCCCTAACATCTTACTTACCATGTTCATCTTTCTACAATCTTGAAGGAGGTTACCATTCATATAAAAAATTGGCCTTTTTGTTTCCTCTTTTGTCCAACGATCAACAATGTAGTACTTTGGAATCTTTCTAATCTATCTTGCACTTAAACACAAATTGCATGTTTGCATAAAATTCCCAATCTCTCAAACAACTTGCAAGAACATGATGTCATTAGATTTCCTGAATTATATATTACTTCATGAGTCTTTTGCCAAGCCGAGTCCATGACACTTACTGTTTCTATATGTTCTTCCTTTCTTATATCAACTATTTCACATCTGAAACAAGCTTTATACACCTCATCTTGGAACATATAGAACATAGTACGGGTATAAACTTCAGATGCATGTTTCTCCAAAGGCAACGGAGTTTGCAACTAAGGAACAGAGTGAACTCAGTCTGTATTCATCTTATCTTGCTTGTGTCTTTATGCATCCATTGCACTCTCAATACGCATGTAAAACTCAACAAGTGTCACATGCAGATTGGTGAAGTTGTTGAAAAAACTATTTTTACTTTCAGATCTGGACGTTGTCCTTAAAATGCCCCCTAACCTGAGATCTCTAAAGTAGCTAGGTATCTAATGTTTCCTGATTGAAAATATATGTTTGAACCACTCATTCTCTTGAAGTTTATATTTCATCATTATAGAGTTCCATGTGGCTTCAAACTCTCGTGGTTCCTGCTCCATGTCCCATACATTTGCATTCAATGATGTAAGGAAGTCTTCATCTTGTTTGAGCTGAAGGCTTTTTTTTTCGGGAACTTTTTTCATTATGTGCCACATACAAAGTCGGTGACGAGTGATGAGAAACACATCAGTTATTGCAGCTTTCATTGCGGTGTCTTGATCTGTTATCAAATATTTTGGCTCACAATTCCCATAGCATTGAGAAAAGTCCTAAATAACCGTTCAAATGATTTGGTATCTTCTTTTACTAGTAAGCCAACCCGAAAGGTAATGCAAGACTTGTGGTGATCAACTCCCGTAAAAGGCGCCAAAACCATTGGATATTTGTTTGAGTCATAAGTACAATCAAAAGAAACCATGTCACCAAACAATGCATAGTTCTTACGACAGATTGCATCTGCCCAAAACAAGTGACAAATGTGATCTTCTTCATCAAGGGCATAGTCAAAGTATTATCCATCAAACACATCTCTTTTTCGTATAAAATTTTCAATTAACATCTTCCCATCATCACCTTTGAAGTGTTCTTTCAAATCCCTATGAAAGTTTATGAAGTCTTGCATTGTGGCACCAACATTATTATAATTTCCTACATTTTTCTTGAACAATCTAAAGGATTTCACAGCCCCGGCGTTCACTTTTGAGTTTCTAGAAACAAAATTCTTATGAACTGTAATCATTTTTCACTACAAGGAAATGGCTCATTTACAACCAAAAATTACGACCATACGCATTTCTGGTCGTAATTAACAAGAACAACGACCGAATTTTTAAACTAGTCGTAAATATTGGAAACTTTTTACGACATGACAAAAATCTCCTCGTACAAAGTAAAAATCTGGTCGCGAAAAAACGAAAATTTCACCCAAAACTGGAGCAGGAATTTTACTAGGGCTACTTAGGTTTTTTGTTCACTTAGTTCTTCTGCCAACACTCTTCACCTTTCTTCTACTTGAGCCTTTCTCGTTATTTCTAGCTTCAAGTAATTCTTACCCATCTTTCTCTTACTAGTTGATGTGAAATTTTCTTCAAGTATCATGTCTACATATCTACTCTACTTATTTTAATTTCGATCTAGGATAGTATGACTCTTAATTCTCTATCTTAACTCTTGTTTTAGTTTTCATTTTTTTCTTTATTTATCCTACTTTTTTTAGATTAAAAATTTATGTAAATATTAAAAATAAAACCATTATTTTTATTCTTTTTAATGAATTTATGTTTAACAATTTTGATTTAAGGATTTCCTTTAGCTATTAAATCAGATATGGCGGGTTAAGCATAGTTTTTTTTTTTTTATTCTTTTTAATCATCTAATATTTACAATTTTTTAAAATGTATACAGGGGTTGTGAAATGTTTGGAATTGCACATTATGAGAGCAAAAGGAAACCAAATCAAGACCAAAAATGGCTGTAGTTGTTGAAGTTATACGGAGTATTAGATAGCATTGTAATTTAGATTTTCAAGTTTAATTTCTAGTCTTAAGGAAATGAACTGTTTAGGATTTTTCTATTCTTTTAAATTTCTACTTTTGAAGGGACGTTGTAAATTTTCTATGTTCCTTTTTAAATTAAATGTTACTCCTAATAATTTATAAAAGAGTTGCAATGATTGTTTGTTTTCAATTTTATATAATGTGTGTTTGGTTTCGAATTATTTTCATATATGCAACAAAAGATAAATATAAAACTAATGGAATAAAGTGAAGAATTACAAAATGCAATTTGAATTATTTTAAAAAGGAATCGCGACAAGTATACAAGTCGTAATTTGTTCACATTAGCGACGAGATTTTGAATCATCGTAAGAATATAATTATGACAAGTCTTTCAAACTGGTCGTAAAGTTTTTGCGACCAAGCCGATTGCGACGACCCATGACCATACGTGTTTCTCGTCGTAAAAGACATTTTGCGACCAAATGGGCTTAACAACATCCAGAAAACTTGTCGCGAGTGAAGCATTTTCTTGTTGTGTTTCTTGAACTCTTTAAATATTGTCTTGATGTAGGAGTGGCAAGACAATGGTTATGGTCTTCATGAAATTTGACCACAATGTATGTTCCATCTATAGGGTTGTTTTTCTATACTATTCTAGCTTTGCAACCAATTCGCTTAGTACTTTTTCTGCGATGTTGTTTCCCATCAATACGTATTTGACTCTTAGGTATTAAGAAACCCTCTCTATTGCAAAGACAATACTTCAAGCCAATGAACCCTTTGGCATTCGTGTATGAAGTAGATAAACGTGTGTCAAATCCACATACTTTAGCATAATTTTCATAAAATTCTACTGCTTTCCCTAAATTTTCAAATATCATTCCTTTGCAAGGCTTTGTATCATCTTCACAATCAGGATACCACTCCTTAGTTCCACATGGAGTTACCTTTGTTTCTCTCCTAGGACTACGGATGTATTGGATTATAGGTGGAGTTTGTACTACAGGACATGGGACCAATGCAATGAGACAATATATATGTATATGATATAATCACTATCATCAAATATGCATACATTTTCATACATACGTGCATTTTTTATAACTAAATATGCATAATTTAACTTCTAAACATGCATAATATTTACTGCACTTATTCAATTACCTAAGAGACCCTCATACTCTTCTCCCTTATCATCTGTTTACATACAATAAGCTAAACTGCTAAATGTGTCTAAGTATTTTTTTTATTTGACAAAAGCAAATGTGTTCAAGTTGGCAATGAAATAAACCTTAGAATAATTGTGCATATTTTCTAACCTAAATATGCATTTATTTTAAGCTATATGTGCATAATTTTGATCCTCTATATATGTGCATAATTTTGATCCTCTTACTCTACCCTACATCCTATGTTTTCTTAATGCTACAAATATTCAAATTGCATCGAATAAATTAAAACTCAATTCATTGTGCATATTTTCTAAACTTAATATGCATATATTTTACCTAAATGTGCATTTTTTTTAGAACTGGATATGCAAATTTTTAGCAGCATGAATAGATCACATTACATATATCCATCAAATTCCACAGCAAAAAACCAACGTATTAAACAAAGTCATGGATCATTACCAACAAAACAAACCCAATAAAAATTTCTATTGCAGTAATTTATGATTTTCTACTCAACAATTTTACAATTACTTCAACAGGAAAAATTGACCTAGGTAGATAATCAATTACCAAATTTGATGTTAGTAAATCAAAAATTAACATTGTAATTCGTATTTAGGTTACAAATTATCTGGGAAAACCAACCAACTACTAAAAAAACAGTATTGGAGTAATACCTTTTTGATGTGGCGTCATTGACGACATTGATTCGAGAATTTCTCCCAATTAGAACTTTCTCCAGATTAGAATTGGAACCACGAGTAAAATTTATCAACTATAAAATTAGGGTTCTTGATAAATCACGAAATTAATATAATTCTTTGAAAGAAGTAGGAGATTTGAGGAGTGAGAAAGAAAGTCATGGAGTTGTTTCCATGGAAGAAGATAGCAAATTACGGAGTAGAGAATAGGAAAGTTGGACTTTACTTTTTGGCCGGTGTTTAGAAATTGTTGGGCCTGTTTAGTCCGTTGGAGTAAATGATTTGCATGGTTGAAATTCCTTCTCATCTTTCTCTCATTTTAAGATTCTCCTCATTGGATCACAATCCTATATATAGAATCCCGTGCGAAGTAGCTCGAATAATACGAACTGCGAACTAATCCGAGCCATCCATCGCGTTAGATCTGACGGTCTATACTTCACCCGCTTCATTAAGGGCAAAATTGTAATTTGGTGCTTTGAATGACTTTCAGGAATTTTCGTCGCCGCTTTTTTTTCACACTTTCTCTCTCTTCTAATCTTGCGAACTCTCCTCCTGCGATTTTTTTTGTTGTGAGCCCGAACCAACAAAAATGAACCAGGTCATTTTCATTTGACTTAGCTTAGGCATTTTCGTTAGAGTCTCTCTCTTCTTCACACTTTCTCTCTCTTCTTCACAAATTTTCCCCGCTTTTCGCATATCAAGTTCGTTCATTATTTGTTCTTGGATCTTCGTTGTCGACTATTTATGAGCAAGTAAGTTAATTTGATTTCGATTTTTGTTGTAGTCTTCTATTTAATTTGACTTTTAATCAAACTTATGCGATTTCGATTGTGAAATTTAGGGTTTTTGCTGTTTTATGTTTGAGTAATGTGCAATTTTATCTATTATTGTTGTGATTTTATTGCGATTTGTTTTAGTTTTGTCACGATTGATTGGAGAGTTTAATTTCAATTGTATTGTTGGTTTCTTTAACCAGGTTTCGATTGAATTTATTGTATATAATTTTGATTTTATTTTGTGTTTCTCGATTTAGAGTTTTATGGTAGTTTTATTTACTTTAAATTTCAGAACCTTCACTTTCCCTTACATTATACTTATATTTGGGGGGTGTGATTTGTTGGCGTTGCATTCTCTATGAGTGTATAGGAGTGAAGTTGGAGTTGTGTATGGTATTGTATTGGAGAGTCCATTTGTATTACTTCTATAGAATATTAAGAGGCTGCAATATAGGACTAAGTCTGGAGAGGAGCTTTGACATGATACTTTAGGCCATATTTCTGTTTTCTACACCTAAGCATAGGCAATAGATAAATCAAAGATAATATACATCCTTACTGATTAAATATCCATTGGCAGCGGCATTTTTTCATTTTATCAGTGTTGCAGTGTTTGGGAAGGCAAGACTAGAGCTTATGGACTAATATTCAAGGATTCATCAGTCGGAATCGTGCAAAGAGCTTTTATAAGACTAAGGGTCTTGAATGAGGTGATTATATAAGTTGTTGCTCGGAAGTTTACAAATTGCTAATGTTGAGTAGAGTTTGGCCAGCTACCTAGCTTATGCCTCATTTTATCGAAGTGGTGTCATTCTCTTAAAATTGGATGATCTGCTAAATTTTGATAGCTTGAAGAATTGCCTTGATGTTAGTGAAATTCTATTTACTTTAGAGTTTGTCTTATTTACTTTTGAGTTGATGGTAGTGACTTGGTTTGGTATATAATTGTGTGCATGGTGTTCATGGTAGTGAGTGCGTGGGGAGTTGATGTGTGGGTAAAAGCCGTGAGGATGTCACGGGTTTTCTTTGTAGCCTTGGGTACTGTGTTAATGGTGTGGCTATATGTGGTCAAGGAGCACGGGGCAAAGGGTGTGGTGCTGTGTGTTGGTTGTTGTTGTTTGGGTGGATGACAGAGCTAGACTGGTGATGTGGTACAGGGTAGTCAATGCTAGAAACAAGTGCAGAGAGGCTAGCATTTCTTCACTGTAATGTGTACATTGTACTACATACAAAGACTTCTCCCTGGACCCTCACAATTATAAAATGGGGCATCGATTTTTTGATTTACTTTTGAATATTTTTTATTTACTTTTGAGCAATTTTTTATTACTATACGTTAGCCTACTAGCTCAAAAGGTAGAGCATTGTGCAATTGCACAAAAGATGTGGATTCGAATCCCACGTAGGTTTTTATCAAAGTTAATGACTCAGGTTCAATGCTCATTACCACTTTCTATGATTTAATATATATACTCTTTAATTTTTTTTATTTACTTTTGGTATTGTTTTATTTACAAAAGATGTGGGTTCATGTTCCACGTAGTTTCATTTGTGTAATCTAAAGATTCAACTTTGTACTATGTATTAAAGTTTAATTTAGTTATTTATATGTTTTATTAGATTTCTTCTTTTTTTGTTTACTTTCGATATAGTTTTATTTACTTTTAATTTGAAAACCTCTACATTGAATTCAATATATTTGTTTCTTGTAACTTAACTCATCTTGTAAGAAAGTCAATGACTTAGAGTTTTTGTGCTATAACAAAGTTTCTATAGTTATTAATCATTTCAAGTTAATTTGTTGTCCGTATACTTTAGAGCTTATGTGATTTACTTTTTAGTTATTTTGATTTACTTTTGAGAAATTTTGAGTTACTCTAGTGTGGTTTATATTTTTGTAGAGATAACCTATGTAGGAATCGAACCTACACCTCTATGCATTTGCATAGTGCTCTACCACTTGAGCTAATAGGTTTACTTTAAGTATTTTTTATTCACTTTATATTCTTTTTTATTTACTTTAGAGATCACTTAGGATTATGATCGCTCTATGAAATTAGACAATTGCTAGTCTTGAGGACAAAAGGTTTAATGGAAACCTATGATTCAAATGCACAACAAACACAACATCATACTTAAACTCCATATATTGACAGCCCATTCTTCATAGGCGGCTTATTTCAACGTCATAGTCTTTGCTCTAGGAAGTCCTCGGTCTGTTCTCTGCCTTCGACTACGAACAGTAAGAATGTGACTGAGAAAAAAGATCAGGGCAAGCCAGTTGAGGCTTCTGCTGCTGTTGCTGTTGGTGCTGCTAAATGCAAACCTGAAAAAGTTACAGAAAAATCTGTTACTCCAATTGTAAAGTCTAATGTGGCAAGTCCGAGGGGTTCGATTTCACATAATCAAAGTAGAAGACTTTCTGATGCTGCAAGAATTTCCACCACGTCTTCTTCCTCTTCTTCAACTAACAAAATTCAGGAACGACAGTCGTCAGGTGATCAAAGCGAGGCTGGAACTCCACGAGCTCCTTCAGGGAACATATTGCAGTTGGCTCAAATCAATAGCCTGAAACAGAAGTGTGTTACTCCTAACAGTAACACCATTGTCAATAAGACTTTGGAAATTAATAATGTTACTATGGGAAATATACTACGGAGAAACAGTACAGATGAAACGCAGCTTCAGAGTTCACTGAGTAAATGGATCCTGAGGAGTTAAAATCCTTGGGAAATGACTAGTATAAGCAGGGTAAATATGAGGAAGCTTTGGTGTTGTATGATCACATCGATCAGGCCATAGCAATTGATTCTAGGGTAAACAGTACTTAGAAAGCAGCAGAATCATAGCCCTATTGATTACATCCTCAACTTTCACACCAAAAATCCTTTAGCACCAATTAGCACAAACTCGAGATTGTATATTTAGCATTTGATTGAGCTTTTACTTTTGAATCCAATTAGGTTACTTTTATAAAATTTGTATATACTTTAAGAGAATAAGATTATCAAATAATAGAATGCAGCTAGAGTTTAAACTATACCATACACGAGGCAGTAAATCATCCCAATCAACTTTCTAATCTGATAAGAGCAAACACAAGCTACATTTTTTGATTGATCATATTATAAATCATAGGTTCAATTTTTTGATTTACTTAAGAATGTTTTGTTTGGTTTTTATCTACTTTTGAAATTGATAAAATAATATTCATAGGAGACATTATTAGTTCAATAAAGCTGAGTACAACTTATATTCAAGCTGTCGAGCATATAACGCTTGATTGCTTTGATTAGGATTGAACAACTCAATTATTATAAATAGAAAACGCCCCAATTCAATTATTGGGAAGATCTAGCAACTAAGTGTGCTAAAGTATTACCCACTCTCTTAACATGTATACACCGAACATCATCAAACAAAGACATCGAATCAACAACACGACAAGTGAAGAGAAACAAATAGCTAAGTCCTGACATTTTCCCCTTAATTTTCTCAACAATTGTGAGAGCATCATTCTCCATCCACACCCTGCTATAGCCAAAACTCCAGGACATCTCAACCCCATAACACAAAGCAGCAGCCTCAGCAACACTTGGTTCCCACCCGCCAATTCTTCTCCTTACTGAAGTGTTCAAAACCTTGCCATTTGAGTCCCGGACAACCACCCCAAGACCCACTTCCTTCCCATTCATGATTGCAGCATCCACATTATTTTTAATCAAATTAATAGGAGGTTTTACCTACCTAGGCAGAAGCAGACTATGCATCACTTCTTTTCACCTTGATAAAGACTAGCAGCATATGAATTATAGTCATAGACTTACCTGGTGAAACCTGTAGCTAGCATTATAGGATTGTGTGTTGACGGCTCATGAATGACGTTATTCCTGCTAGTCCAAGAGGACCAACATAAGTTTGCAAACACTGAAATCTCATCCCCTGATAGTCTCTCTACCATCCAGCTTAGGCAATCCAGAAAAGAAGAGTTGGGAGCTTCTGTAATTAATTCTGAAAATCGACTCACACCCAAGTTAGGCTAGCATATGCTTACTTTAAGAGAGGGTTAATTTACTTTTATAAGATATATACTTTCATTGACTCACAAGAACATTGTCCGTGAAGAAAGAAGTAAATAGCTTAAATTAAAACAAGCTCACAGAGGGAAAATATTTGCTCTTACCTGATTGGAAAATAAAGCAAAATGTAAAGACATAGATAGAGATACATAAGTGTGAAGAGGACATTGATCATTTTGTTATTAACCTCAAACCACTCATCCCTATATAATTTCCTGTCACCACAAGAAACAAAATTGCACCTGCCACATCCATAAAAGGACCATATATATCTATTTTTGAAATTGATTAAATTAATAGGATTCATTGAGGCCTTTTGTCAAACAATTAGTGTGCATAAAGATATCAACAACAATAATTGAATAATCAAAATTAATTCAATGTAAAGTAAAAAAATAGACAAATTCAGGCATGAAAATCTCACAAATACTCCCTCATAATAGGCATGTAATTTGATGGTCGTATAAAACAAACCCTAAAAATTAATTTATTGAGAATTTGTTTCTAATCAGATAAATTAATTCAATCACACACAACACCAAATTCAATTAGAAAGCTTAATTAGACAAAATAACAGCGCTACAGAGTACTTAACCAAAATTAAAGTTTCACTTTTCTTCTTTAATAAGAGCAAACACAATCTTCATTTCTCTGATTTCTCATATAAATCATAGTTTTAGATTTTCAATTTACTTTTACATACAATTAGTATACTTTTACTTGGTTTCAATCTACTTTTGAGATTGATATAATAATAGGTTCAGCTTCAGTACATAGTAATTCACTTAGTGTTTAGAATCGAGCTCCAAATTTCAACAAAATCATAAGCTAAAAACATTCAAAAATTTATATAGATTCAATCGTTAAAAACTTATACCTGATTTTAAGCACGAATTTGCAGATTGGGTGAGAATTGAGTGTCGCGGACGAAATTTTCAGTGAATCACCAAATTTAAAAATAGTTTTCGAATCTCTAATTAAATCGTGCCGAAATCCAAAATTGAAGCAAAAAAAACTGCAAATTACAGCTATTATTGAAAAATTATACCTGTTCAAGCACAATAAACTACAAAAATTATCACAAATTTTATAAATTTTGCATTATAAAACTTTTAAATATACCTAATTTTCAAACTTCTATGACCAATTTATTTCAAAACAAATAGTCTTCGAAGAAATTTAACAATAAACAGATAATTTCTGCAATTTTGAGTGGAATAGTAGAGTAACAATGGCAGATTTCGGCGAAAAGTTGCAAGGAGAAAGAAACTACTTTAGGAGAGAGAAAATGGCGTGACAGAGGTAGAAGAAAGGGAACCCGCATAATTTAGTTTTTGAAATAATCTGGGCCACTCATCGAACCCGCATCTGAGTTAGATCCAACGGTTCTTGTTAGTTTATATATATATAAAGGGTCAGGATTCGGTGAGAATCACATTATATGTGAGAATTCATCCCATATGTGATAACAAATCTCGGCTATTAAATTGTATTAAATCCAACAGCTGAGATTAATAACATAAACCTCCTAAAAACCACGCCTAATTGTCTTCTCTCTCCACCACAGTTAACTGACTTCTCTCCACCACGGAGCTTCATCAATGGCGTCTAATTAATAACTCACCTTGACAATTTCTCTCTCCTCATCTTAGCTTGTTCACAAGTACACAATTTCCATCAATTATTGAGGTTTGTTCATTCTCTAAGTTTTGAATTATTTTGGTTAAAATTTCCAATTGTTCTGTTCTGATTATTTTCGATTTTGGATTATTTTCGTTAAAATTTAATGATGTCAGTCATCTAATCTTATTGAATTGCATGTTAATCTTAGTAATTGAATTTATTGTTCTGATAATTTTCGAATTTACTCTTGAATTTTTGGTGAAATTATTGAATTTCATATTCTAATGATTTTCGAATTTACTTTTGATTTAGAATTTTCAATTTCATATTCTAATGATTTTCGAATTTACTTTTGATTTAGAATTTTCATTAAAATTATCGAATTACATGTTAATTTTTGAATTGCATTAATCATTAAATTGCATGTTTAATTGTATCAACTATTGATTTGATTGAATTTACTTCTTTGAAATTTTTTGAATTGAATCCATTATTTAGGTTTGATTAATTTGATAGAGATTTTAATAATAGCAGATTAAACTTGATAGTGATTGTAATGATGTCATATTAAACTTATTGAGCAAA